TTGAAGTATGTAATGCAATGAGTTTTTTTAAATATAAGCAAATACCTATTTTGTCTTGATAAAGTTTATTTTATATTTACTTATAAATGGTACTTTCAGTCTTTCAGTTTTTGGCTACACTTATTTGAAACACATAGAGAAAGATATAGGAAACTGGAGTACCTAGAGGAAACTAGAGACATGTGAACACAATGAAAACCTTAAGAAGTCCATGCAGATCCAGTAGCACCCCAGAGCCCCAGCACTGCTAACCTCTGTGCCACCATGCCACCTTCTATTACACTTTCTTCCTTTAAATTTCATCTTTGCTTTTGAGAATTAGAGTATCAGCAGTTTGAAATGTTGAAATCTGGACAGCAGTAATGACAGGAACACTGTTAACATACAGCAAGCCTGCAATGAGTTAAATGAAGAGATGTAGAATTGTTGTGTTTACAGTAATATGAAATATGTTTGGCCATCGATATGATTGCCGTTGTATTTCAGAAGATAGAGCAAGTGTTGTGTAAAAGCTATTTCTCAGTCTAGTAAAGCCAGATTACCTACACTAGATGCACTGTCTGATCAGTTGCATGCAAGTACAGGCAATGACCATAGCAGTCTGGGCCATGATGCACAAGATCTACACAAGATATAACAACAAATATTTATTTTCTAGAAGCTCACAGTTATAAGGCACGGTTCCATGGTAATTTGTATCATACTTTGACATGGCTGTATCTTTTTTTGAAAAGTACCAGAAAAATGAAATCCTGAGGAAAGTCCTTGTCAAGCACTGCCTGGAGGTCAAGGAGAGAAATGATCAAGAAGTTCATTTTCTGGAAGCATGTCACTAAATTGGCAGATCGGAACGTTGAGATTGACAAGTTTGTAAACTGGGAGAGACTTGACAGTGAATGAGCACTATAGCTTGCAGACATGATACAAATACAATCTGACAATATTAGCCTTTTTCAAACCTAAGAATCACGGGCAAATCCAATGAATGGGAAATGCAGCAGCACATTTAAATGATAATATATGCAGAACGCAACACCTAGTATATTGTATTGGATCCCGATTCCTTTGGCCAATTTTTACTTTGAACCAAATTCCACTGATCACTTCACACAACATAACTTCAGGACCTGTGTCATTTAGGATTAAATGCACAATTGATTAAGATCAATATGCAAGAAATTGTATATGGCTAATAAAGTGATCTTATCTATCAAATATGTACAGTATAGTATCATTTGTTTCTTATGTGATATGCACAGAAACATGCTCCTTTATTGTCATCCATGTTTGTTTTAAATTAAATTAAAAATGTAATCTTGGGGATGAGACTTTTCATATCTACATTAAAAGGAATTTATGTTAGATTACATAATTAAAAATAAAATAATTAGATTAGGCGGGCATGGGGGTATTTCTTTGAAATACTGAAACTTGGAAAGGCATGAATTTTAGTTTAAAATGCTATTTTAGTAATAGTATTAGTAGTGAATCACACAGCACTTTTATTCACAAATGATCTGAAAGTGCTGTGTACATATGGGACAGGGCCCAATTTATCCAACACTGAAGTGCAGCACCACTTTGATGATGAGCGTCAACTATTCAGCACCAGCAGACCCACCACATGGGAGATCAGAAGTAGAAATGTTTCTGAGTCATTTTAGAATAAAAGATGTACATTTCTGCCTTGATGCATTGTGGCACCCGGGGAATCGGTTTACTCCATCACTGAATTAGGGGGAACATTAAGGAGGCTGATTCTACAAAGGCAGAGAGGAATTCAGCTTGGATGTTGGGGTTAACTACCCCTGCTTGTAGGGATAGTTCTAAGGGGATATCTAATGACGAAGTATTTAGGACAGCAGTTTAATGGCTTATCCAAATGTAGGTACGTTGGTACTTTTCACCTTGAAAAGTAGAAAGAAGAAACACTACATTTAGACTGTTGAGCCTTCTGGAGGTGTGAAAAAGGCTCAATAGTTGAAATACTGTTTTTTCTTCCTACTTTTCAGCGTGGAATTAATCTTAACTTGATCATTTTGAAACAAACATACTGACACAGCTCTCCACATAAATGCAGTTATCCTGAGGCCATTAAAAAAACCCTTTTCAGCAGTTACTGAAGACTGATGTAATACCCACTGACTGGTTATTACAAAATTACAAAATTGGCTGAAACATTGTGTTTTCTTTCTTCTCTTTTCAACTTGTATGTAGTATTGTTTTGACGAGTGCTTGTATTTCACTGTACTTCTTTCATGCTTGTTTCTGAATATTATATAAGGTGCTCTCTTTCTTCTTTTGTTTTACTTCACTGGTTAGCAGATTGTCAGAATTGAAGCTTATTCTTATTCTTGCCAAATAAATTTTAAAGTTATAAAGTTACAAAAATATGCCTTACAAGAAGGGTGTAAGTACGTTGAAATCTGAGGTAAATCTCAGCAGAAATATGAAGAGTGGATTTTACAATTAACACAGCACATTAACATGGCTGAAGTAGTTTACTTTTGCTATATAGGCCTGGTTTGCTATTCTAATTGTAATAGAACATGCTTGATGAAGCACAGAATGGCGGGAATTATTAATATAATTAAAAGCCATGTTATACTAGAGAGTTTTTATTAGAGAAATCATCAGCGTTTTTATGGTTTAATAAATTTTAGGGAAGAGTGTTTTTTCAACTCAGTACATATACTGTAGATACCTTTAACTCGTTTCTAATTAATGTTGAAATTAATTACATTTTTGCACTGGGAATAAGGCTTCTAAGCCCTAACATACACACATGTGCATACAGTACATGCATTTTGTAGCAGTTTGTGACAAAATTACTTTCTTTCTGTAAATATTCAGGTAATTGGGATAGTGACACAACAATCCTATTTCTTATACAAGATTAAATACAGATTAAATACTGCATGCCACAGGCATGGCTTAAATGGTAAAGTTAAATGTATTATATTGGATCATAGAGAATCACTTGGCTCTCTCTCTCTCTGCGGTCACAATTTTAAACAGCTTTCAGCTCTGGGCTTGTTATCAGCATCATTTAGTGTTTAGTTCCTAAACTCAAGCACGCCTTAAAATAAGCATTGATTTATTTATGTTTTCATTATGTGAAATCACATCAAGGTCTCTGGGTTCAATTCCTCCACTATGTGCATGCCTTTTCCATTCCTGTGCACAGCGGAAAGCTCCTCTTTAGCCACAAAAAATAGGGCTTGGAGACTTTAATAGCAAAGATGTAATTCTTAATTTCTGTTTTAAAAGCCGTTATTAACTAACTGAGCCGAGAGCCGTATTCATCCATTTCTTGAAAGAAGCAGGTCACGGGTGTAAAGGTTCAGTTCCTTCGGCCTGTCATGGCAGGATATTCTTAAACCCCAGGAATGGATCTGGTGGTCCTTTGTCACAGGGATTCCTGAGCAGCAATATCTTTTGTGAGACAGTGACCAAAGTTGAACTGGAGTGTAAAGTATTCTTAATAAGGTCACAGCAATACATTGTGTACTGTAAGAATTGGGCACTTACTGTATAACTATGTATCATAAGATTTTGTTTGAGGATGTTAATATAAATTAGTGACACAGTTCTTCTTCATTGCAAATGTAAAAGCAATTATTTACCATGTATCGCGTAGTAGGGTAAGTGCCTGTACAAAACAAATTCTCTGGACTTCTTTTAACTTTATTGTCATGGTTTTCAGCCTACATTAACGTGTAAAGATTATCTACTGTTATGGATGTATGCATGAAAAACTAAGACTAATCAGATTAGATTTTTCTTATCTGCAAGGTTTTTTGTAAAGTTTTAAAATGTGTATTTGAAAACTTTCCAGAATTGTTCAAGATTATTTCTAAGCCATTTTGAAACAGTTTAAAGGAATTGTGAATTTAGCTCATAAAATACAGAACAGAATGTGCAGGCCACAAGTAGACTAGACTAAGATGATTGATCTATTTAATGTTTACAGCTACTAAGTAGAAGAGGGAGCAATGATTAAATTAATTTGTATAATAATTTACATATAAAACAGTGGCATTATGCGGGGGGCGTGTTCAGTGAGGAGGCGGAGCCCTGGATTAAGGGCGACTCCGTTAGCAACTGCAGCTGTCCTGCAGCTGTCCGCAGCTGGATCCACAAGACTGAGCTCCTCCCCGGAGTGACGAGCGGAGCCCCGCAAGGGGAGGACCCTCCAGCCACAGGCCCGGGGGGGGATTGTGATGAGAGCACTGAGGCCGTATTTTTATTTTCTTTTTCTTTTTGCCTGTCCCGCTGTGTATCTCCCTTTTCTTCCAGACTGTTCCCCCTGCTGTGCCAATTGGTTCTTTTAATCCCAGGCTGGACCCCGTTAGACAGGGTAAGTCCAGCCTAGACCCCACTATGCAAAGCAGCACATTTTCTCGCTGGCCTCACACTGGTGACTCCGCCCCCTCAGAGGGGGCGTCGACTCTGACCGCTGTTCGCCGCGGCTCCTCCCACTGCCGCACTGCTACCAGGGGACTTTAGTCATTTAGATTTACTAAACGAATATAAGAAGTGTAAAATTACTTCACCAGTTGAATTAAGGAGAAGATGGCATTTAACACAAAAGTGCATCCTGTCCTTATACAGGGGAATTGATTCGGGCATTCTGGGACAGAGGAAAGAGTTTTATCTACTTATGCACATGTTGGTTTTAATTAGTAAAATTAACACTAGAAGATGAGCTTGGAATCAATGTGTTCTCAAACTGTGAAAGTTGTGATCAATGTGATGTGGTGATTTTGGACAAACACAAACGTCTTTTTTTTCCTTCTGTAATATTAGAAAACAATTCAGCTTACTCTATAGTACAGATATGAAAGTATATACACATAACATGCAGACATGACATAACTTTCAAGGGTGGCAATAAACACTATTACACTGTTAAACTGTTTATTTTCACTTCTTGTAATAAATTTAAATGGTGGATTAATAAAGTAGGAAAATGTGAAGTAGAAAAATAAAGAACTTACAGACTGTGTTTTTGTGGTTGGTGTCTTTACTTGGCAGCATCTTAACCCCTCTGGATTTCAGTTCAATTGCTTTTTTTACTGTTGGGACAGAAATTGAAGACATAGGCATTAGATTAAGAATCCTTAAAAATACCTGGGAGGATGGTTTTGAGCAAACTATATAATTCCCCCTGTAAACCATTCAGGAATGATTTTCCCTTATTCCAGCCTTAATAGTGCTGTAAAGTGATACAACATTTCATTGTAGAAAAACCATGAATCTTCCTCTTGGGATAAAATCACTGTAGTGAGGGTGAGGGCAAAACATACAACTTTCCAATTGACTTTTAATGCTTTGCATTTTTACAGAAAGCACTACCCTGTGAAACAGCACAGTAGGGATGTTACAGGTGGAAAGTACTAGTATTTTATTTGATAAAGCCAGCAGTACGAGACAAATAGAGGACGATAAAGTTCATATTATGAATAAAAAAGAATACACTTAATTTAAAAATGTCTCAGCATGCCAATTACAAATCACACATGTAATCAACACTATGTGACAAAATACAGTATCTTAATTTACTTATTGTCAAGCCATATGTTACATGTGGTGTAAAAGATAGTAAAGACAAATTTCAATAAGCTCTGATCGCAACAAAAGCAATTCAGTGAGATGGAATACAAATAAGTCCTTTCAACATGTTATGCTGTTTACAAAGTTTCTAACCATTGGTTGAATAATTTATATTATTTTCTGAAGAGTATGGTGCATTTATTATCAATGTTTTTACATGATGACTACTAGCTACAGTACACAACAATATCAATTTTACATTTTACAGTACTGCCATAGAACTTTGAGCAGCAGCAGTTTTTAGCTGCTACTTTTATAACAAAAAGAAGAATGACAGGCGGACAGTCTCTAACAGCTCTTGAAGGATGAAACTAAATGCACTATTTTACTATTCAAGAACCCTAAACAAATTGCTGGTAAAATAAATTGTATATCTTTAATGGGAAAAATGTCCAATTTATAAAGTTGAATACAATTTAAGTTCCAATAAATTACTTTTAAAAGGATGTAAGTTATTTTTATTAGTGTTGAATAATTAAAAAAAAAGTTTCACATTTTTAAGAAATAGTGACACTGCTATGCTGTATTTTACAGTTTAGCACAGTACATTAAATCCAATGCTGTTGTCATTAAACAGAAACATAATTAAATTGCCATAATTAAAAACTAAATTAATCCCTGCAGCCTTCGACCCAGGAACTTTTGACATGAGGAAAAAAAACTGCAATATTCAAGGCAAATGTTGAAATCCTCTTCCTTCAGCTGTCAAAACCTGGTAAGAGCTCTGAGTAATTAGCAAATGAAGAAACCATTCAAATCAGACAAACACTATAAATAATGAGAACTCTGTGACAGTGTATTACACAAAAGAAAATAAATGGCTGTAACATAAAATGGGAATACTACAATAAAATCCCAACTGAATGACATACTTTTCAGCCAATGTCTTAAAAACAATAGCATAGAAATTTCCTCACTCATATGGACAATTTATCATCTTCTAAAAGAAGGTTTTCTAAAACATTGTTTTGATAATACTGAAGTGTACTTTCTGATTAAAAGTTCTAGGCAAGAGAAATTCCTAATCGTGAATTGCATTTCTTTGTTTTCATCCTTATGGGGAACCGTCCAACCATCCACTAACTGCTTCATCCAATACAGGATCTTAGGGGAGCCGCCAGCTACGCCTGCAAGCAACGGGTGCAAGGCAGGGTACACCCTGGAAGGGACGCCAGTCTATAAAAGGGCACACACACAAGCATAGAAGCAAACACATACACACTTGCACTGGTGCCCATTTTACCAGAAGCCAATTAAACCACCAGTAAGTATTTGCACTGCAGGAGGACGATCACAGGGAGAACATATAAACTCTGTGCAGACGGCACCCCAGGTCTGTAATTGAGCCCTGGGCTCCAGTGCTGTGAGGCAGCAATGCTAGCTGTACCACTGGGCTACATGAGTAACAGAATAGTAACGTTTTTAAATTGTCACTAAATTGTCAATTATTTTGCCTCCGTTTCCAGGTTTAACACAATGGATTGTATAACCACTCTGCATAAAAATGTATTAAGGTACTCCACAGGAGAAAAAAAAATCCCTCCATTCTAAAAGCAACGTGATTCTAAATTCTGTTACAGCACCACATATTCTTATTTGCATTACGACAATCTAAGTTAATTATTTGAGCACTTTCACACAGGCGAGCAACCACAGTCATCAACATGTTTCCAGTTGTAGGTCAGTAATTCCCCTACAGAAAAAATGTTTGCTGACAAAGTAACTGGATCTTAGGATCTTAGAAAACGAGATGTCAGAAACTGGAACAAACCATGTCCTGATATATATATTTAAAAAAAATCACAGTTTATGCAATGTGGTGAGATGAACACTAAATTTCTAACCAGTATGGTACACTTGAAATACTGTATATCAATTATCATTTTTTCACTCTCAAAATATGGTAACAATAGTCATGAGTTAAATGACTATCAAAAGGCATATTCTAAGTAAATAAACGATTAAAGATTTTCAGTAAATAGCAAGACAGATGCAGCAGGTCAATGAAGAGTCAAAGCAAGGAACGCAAAACAGTCAGGACAGCAAGAGTCAGGGAAAGATGTGGACTTCTGAACAGAGAATTACACTTTTATAAAGACTAGGAATTGCATGGGAAAACATAAATGTCTGATTCAATGTGTTATTAAAGACCAGTTCAAAAATAAAGCACAAACACTATAACCACACACGGGGGAAAATGAGGAAGTGTAGGCAGACTCGTCTGACCCACCCACCCGCAACTCATCTTCTCATCCTTTAACACAGTGGTCCTCGGTTCTGGTCCTGAGGGAGCCCTGTGTCTGCAGGTTTCCATTCCAGTAGGCCCTTAATCACCACTGCTAATTATTGCCTGTAGATCATCTGCTTGCTTGTTTAGATTTTTTTTCAGCACTCTATCCTTGGTTTCAAAATGATTTAATTATAATGTACCAAAAATAATTCAGATAACTTCAGTACACATAACTTCATGGACTGTCTCCATAAATTACTAATGAACAATTTTTTCCCTTAGTTCTGACAAAAAAGCTCTTAATAGGAATGGCGATGTTTCAGACACTTTCACAGTGCTCGCCTGTCTTTCATTTTAAATCTGATTGGTCATATTTCAGCTTACACACCTGAATGAGGACAGGTTGGTACTAATTACAAATCCCATTTCATTTGTTGAGAACTGAAAAGAAATTTGAAAATGGGTTCCAAATAGAAAATTGAAGCCAATTAGCCTGTGAGTAAGAACAAAATCCAGAGGACACAGGGATCCCCCAGGACACAGATTGAGAATTACTTTTAAACTAAATAACACGCACCACAAGACCTACAGTATGCCAGAGCTTAAGAAGGAAGCTTGTCCCTCACAGGCAGTACATTATTGAGGACACATTGATCACCGTGCCACTGGCCAAAGAAAGTCCTGGTTGACTAAACTCAACCCCCCCTTGGCGGCGGCGCCCCTTGGGGAATCCTTCATGGGCAGTGTGAGAGCCCTCTGGGCGAATGTGCTGCTGCTCTAGCCCTGACCTGTTGCTAGAAGACCTGTGTGTACAGAGTCATACAGTATCCACTGACTGGAGGACAAAAAGCAGAACCTCTGTGTGCTCCACTCCCAGCACGGAGAGGAACTCACCACAGACCAAGGGAATGTGAATCTGAGGACTTCCAGATTGCTTGTTTGAGAAGAGTCTGTGTGATATTATACAGTATAAATCTTTTTTGAAAGAAAATATAAATTTTGTGAAAGTTTCGTTTTAGAAGAGACTGAGAGAGACTTAATTGTTTTGAAACCAGTAAGTAGCTTAGCTAAGCGGTATGCTAAAGAGAGACATCATGAAAAACATTCGAAGCTCAAAAATGAGCTGAGGCTCTTGTTTTGGTATTATAGTTTGTGGTGTTTTTAAAGCTTATGACTGTACTGTATGTATCTGGACCTGCCCATTTTAAAGATCCTGCTACAGCACAACTGATGACCATTCCCAACCGGCTAATGACATGATGGGGCCCAGGAACTCTTGATTATAAAAACTGTACTTCTGAGCGCTTATTTACCAGCTGAATCATTTCAGAGGACTATTACAGTATTTCAGTTTCATCTGCCTGTCTCGTTATAATAAAATTTAATATTGATGGTTATGAAAAATTAGTAATTTTCCTAACTTTCTATACTAAGAACTACACTTGTTAATTGGCACTAAGTAGTTCAAGCTGAAGAAATACGGTATTGTGCAAAATTCTTTCTGCATTATTTTGTATTGTATGAGTTATTAATTACTATCAGAACTAACAGCTTTAAATGTAATAATTATACTTTCATATTTTGCAAATGAAGATGTAAAAGAATAGCCTTTTGTTGTATCTCATCCATGTTGCCTTGTGATTTTAAAATTAATTGCTTAATGTTGCTGACACAAGAATTTGCAAATTCTGTTCATCTTGGATACTCATTTGTTTTCTAATTTATCTTCAGATAATTCATCATAATCCACACACACAGATTGATTTTTTTCCCCAATCCCTCCAGTATTTTGGAATGATGCAACCTGACTACAGAGACTGATATAATCTGTATAAAAGGTACTCTGAGCAAATGTTGTTGAGATGTCACTGGTTAGCTGCATGACAACATAGTACTGCTAGTGCCCTGACATCAGCTTTAGTATCAAGATCTTTGTCTTCCTCTCCCCTTCCACAAACACTGATCCCTTACCTTGGTATTGGGCATGAAATCCTTTTCGTCGATGGTTGCTGTCAGATGTAAAATGCAGGCGAAGCCAATTTTTGCTGCTAATGACAGGGGAAGGCAGATTCATGCCAGTCAGCCTGAAAGAAAATACAATTCTTATTTCAGAGGAGCCATCTTGTGTTGCAGCAGACACAACATCTGGAAAGAACCAGTCATTACTAGGGTAAAAGACAACTTGTTATAAAGCACTAAATCTTAGGAACACATAAACAGATGCTATCTTTAATTAAAATGTTTAGAACATTTTGGACTCTAACAATAATGAGAAAGTGATTGATTTCAGAATATCAGAATGCAAAAAGGGAATCCTGGTTTTGCTGTGATTGGTTAAGAAAATCTGTCCAGATATTCATTTTGTTATTTAGATCCTGCTCTGAATTCACCCAAGATAAATTCATCATCTCATTAGACAGAGCACAGAAATGTGTTTTTTAAGAGACCTCATGTGTACAGTGACCCTGTGCTGTGGATCTTCCCAGTCTTCACCTACAACATCTGATTTATTTACAATGCACTCTTGAGCAGTGCTGATGCTTTATTACAATTTTATAACCAACTTCCGCATTAAAACAGGGCATTCATTGTATGTATTAAACATTGGTGTTGACAGATTCCAACTGATCTTATTGACTTTTCTACTGACAAAGTTCTGAACATCATTGGTTAAAACTTTCACTAACTTTTAAAAACAGATTCACTGTTAATAAGCTATATTTTAAATATTATAAATAAAAAGTTTATGTAATCAGTCATTCAGAACTCTTTCCTTCTGTCTTTATGCCATTCCTTTCTTTTATTTTTTAAAATAAAATTGCCAGTTACGTTTGTTATGGGCAAGACCTGGGTTCGAGCCAATGCAGTGAGGCATGAACTAGGGTGGGAGCGGCGAGGGCACAAGCCCTAGAACCGAATCCGTTACAATTACAAAAGGACGGACATGGAAATGTGGGCTATTTGGAAGTCGCAATTGCAAGATATAAAGTTGGAATTCTGAGTTTTTAAGTCACAATTCTGAGATATAAATTCGCAATTCTGAGTTTTTAAGTCGCAGCTCTGAGATATAAAGTCTGAATTCTGAGATACTAAGTCGCAATTGCGAGATGCCATAGCGCGTTTTTTTTTACTCCCTGGCGGAAACGGGCTTCCATATAACTGAAACTGAATAAGGTACAGTATATGAGTTAGAAATGTTTCAGAAATGTCACTTTTACGATACTACACAAAGAGTGGCAATTATTATCTCACATTTCCTGAACATAGGCTGTAATATATAGTATATGTAATAATAGGAATTCCACCAATAATCTGATGGTGTTTTATGAGCCGCAGATGAAAATACAGTATGTGGCACGTGTTCTACAGTGTTCTGGTAATTCGATACTTGGAACAGAATTACCTTTTGCTGAGACTGTGATGGGGGCATTGGTGTGTAGGATTGCATTTATATAGATATTCCACGGGCTCCATCAGTTCTCAATTGTACCAAGGATTGATCTAACTAGGAGAGGGCATGCAGCTTCAGATGACCTAACATCACCTGTTGTAATATTATATAAAAGAAAAACTTCCACCCCAGCAAGAAAAAAATAAGAAGAAAATAAAAAATGATAACTCAGCAGTGGAGCCAGCATCAAGTATGTAAAAAGCACCTAAAGACAGCTCTACAGCCAGAACACTGTTTTTCTTCTTTTTACTTTTTGGAATTAACCTCTCTTCGTTCCTCTGCAGCTCACGTTAAAATGAAACTCCCTATCAGAATTGATTGTGTACCGTATATACAGTAGATATCATAACTAAGAAATATAAAGATTGTAGTTTTAGTAGAAATATGAGCAGGGTCATATCTATTATCTCTTTACTTTGTACAGTCATCCGTCGATAGATGCTAAGCTCTTAATTTTTAGAAGAAGAATTCAGTAGATTGTACAATTTCCACAAATAACAAGATATCAGCTCAGCAGATGGAACTGAAACATAATGAAGTGAAACAAATAACAAGTGATTCCATTCCCTAACCTCTTGGAGTAGGGATGCCAATTTTATACAACTCTAGGGCATACAGCCCGCTGTCCATTGCAGCTGTCACTCACACTGGAACCTTTCTTTTGACACATGGCATTACTGCCACCACACACAATGTGCCAGGAATGGATGTAGTGCCTTCAGGGAACATTGTGATACACATTCCTTTTAATCAAGCACAATTAAAAGGATATAAGATATCTCGTGGGATAAGAAAAGGGATTTAATTTCAGAAGACAAAAAATATGTACATCACTCTTCATATCAAACTTCATTATGCTGGGGAATTCAGATATATTTTTCCATTTTTCAGCTGTACATGATTATTGTGATTATTCGCCACACTACTAAGATTAGCATTCAGCAGCTGAATTTGTAATCACGCTTACTGTTGTCATTAACTTCCTAATTACATACAGTAGGTGCACCAAAAAATTCAAAAATTCAAAAAAATGCAACAGAAAACCTGAAAACTATCTAATCAAGAGAACAGAGAATCAGATGCTGCTCATCATTTATGTAGCAGCTCGTGTGTGTTGCAGTAGGGGAGTGAACACAGCTGTGGCTGATCCTAACTAGGGTGCTGAGCCACAGGTGTGTGATAGATACAGCATTTAACCTTTCTTTTCATGACAGAGATGTGGGATGGGGAGAGTAATACAAGGGGCAGACAGCTGACAGAGCTACTCTGAAAGCACATAGACCAATAGACAACAGAACATGAAGAAAAGGCAAAGAAACTGAGGTGAAAAGCAGTAGAACTTCAAGACAAGCTTTTTTCCCACAGGGGAATTTTTGCTGTTTTATTCTGTTATTGTGAACCTGGGTGCATCCACTCCACTAATTAAACGACCGCCATAACCTTATACGTCCTTTTGTTCTCCCATGTCTGGCTACTGGGAGTCAAGAAGTACAGGGTTTCTTTAACAGTTTAAGAGTTAAGTGAGAAAGGATAGAAAAAATGAGGGAAACCTAGATAATGTATTCATTGAACTATCAGTGAAAAAACAAAGCATTTAAATTCTTAATATGGTGAAGCAGGTATAATTGCGTTAGACAAGGCAAAAGCTGTTGAAATTATTTTCTCATAAGCATCCTAGACTACACAAATATCAGAAATAAACATGTAAACAGATTCGTCCTTGCACAATTTAATTTTTCATACAAAAGCAAGATCTTATTTAGAAGAACTTTGTCTTTTTTATTTAGGAAAGCTAGTAATGTTATGCCATAACGTGACCGCACAATGTAGTTTCCTTTATTGCTAGGCAATGAAAAGCCGATAGTCCCAAAAATCATTGTCTTTTTTTTATTTACCATATTTTGATATGCATTATGGTAAACTCCTAACTACCGTCTCTACTACATATTTGTTTATATTTCTGAGAGTTTGCCTTGGGTATTTCTGAAACATTTTTAAAACATACTGTGACAGACACTACCCTGAAGCAGGGTGATTGCAAGGTCAAAATACACAAAAAATGAAAAAGTGAAATCCAGGAAGCTTTATTTTAGCCCTTATCAATTTAATACAACATTCTAAAAACCAACACAACCACCACTAGCAGCTTGCATGACCTTTACATACCAAACACAAATAGTCTTCAGCACTAATCTAATCAATTATCAAATGAACACCCACTGCGTTGCTATTTACAAAGTTTAGATACGCTACAGTGGCCACTAGTGGCAGTCCAATTGTAACTGCAACTCTTCCTTCAAAAGTAATGTAATGTAAAATTCATCTGTGCGTTATTGTTTTTATCTGCTTCCCATGAGTATGGGAGGTAGCTTTACCAAACATCATTAAATTAAAAAAACACATTTTACTTTATTTTGAAAAGTTCATAATATGAATATAATATGTGGTTTGAAGGAAGAGTAGAAATAAAGTTGTTTAAATCAGACTTGATTCTCTGGTATTTTACTTCTACGTTATGTTATCTGAAGATTAATTTGATTCAACTTTGATAGCGAAATAATAACACTGAGCCCAAATCTGCTTTTAACACAGACCTAATAATTTAATTTGATTCAAAGAAATGTTTGGAAGTTGAGATATGTGCATCTAATCAAAGCTACAAGTCTACATCTGCAGTTCAATCAAGTTAATCTCTAATGTGTATCAAATCAACATTTTGTTTAAATACCCCTTTATAGCTGTACTGTAGAATAAGCTAATAATGGTGACATTAATTTGGAAGCAAATGTGGGGCCTGAGACTCAGTAGACTGAGATTTTGTAAAAAACATGGACTGCCTGTAACTGAGAGGAAGAAAACACAAAAAATGGAAGGATTAACAGAAGTAATTGTGCTAGAAACAGAGAGAGACTTACCAATGGAGGGATTAAAGAATAGCTTGGTAAAATATCTACACTAACACCTAAAGAGATAATAATAATAATCAATCCATCCATCTTCTAATCAGTTCATCTAGTTCTGGGTCAGGATGGAACAGATGATTATTCCAGCACTGAAAGGCAGCATTGCTAACCACTACCCCCACCATGCTAACCAGATAATAATAATAACAAACTTTATTTTCATGGCCACACTTCATGTACAATTTTAGAAAATGAATGCACAGGGTAACAAACAAGTATGCGAAAGATCCTGCAAGACAATGCCAACCTTGAAAGGTTCTGTCCTATATGAATGAAAATTTAGGACAGACATAATTAGAAAAAGGCGGAGATGGTGCTGTAAGGGAAGCAAACAGCCAAAACTGATATGGATTGAGAGTCTTCGTAGGAAGTGAAGCAGTAGGCAAGAACTCGCTCAGTGTTCTGCGCAGACTCATTGTTTCATAAAATATCATTTCTGTTTTTTACATGGAGAAATAGAGATCTAAAATAATATAACTTTGTAATTACACAATATGAAGTTAAGGTAAACAACACTGATGTTCAGTGTTGGAAAAGACAGAAAAGTTTAAATTCTGTATTCAATATTCCTGTCACAACATCATCATAAAATATTGGTTGAAAATAAACAAAAGCTGAGTTGGCAATATATATCTGAGTGACAGCAAATGACTGCGCACAGCTCCAAAAA